TTATGTTTATTTGGCCGCTTAGCATGTGATGTTATATTCAGTCTTGAGTAGTAGTAACTAGCTCTTCTTTATCGAACTTCAAAATCACCTGTGCAGTGTATGGTTGGACTAAATATGGAATGAACTCACTCGTTAGGCCTCATAGATCCCTTTGAAATACAGGATAATCACATTATTTTCCGGAGCTGCAGATACTCGCTCGCTCACTCCATAGAGACCTTCACCTTCAGCGTTTATTTGTAGTTACCGATTTTTCGAGGGATGACTTTGCGACAAGAGGAACTCTCCGCGTTCACATATACTCAGAGGGAAAAGTTATTATGACTTAGGTAATCTTGTGAATGAAGTTTTGGATTTGAATCAGGAACCAACGCAACCAAGCAGTGGACAGAAATGTGTAAGCAGCATGACACATTCGAGAAAACTGGTCATCGATTTTCACTTTAATAGGCCACGCAACCAGACCTAATATTTCCTCAAATGCAGTCATAAAAGTGCAGAAGTCAGAATAAAACACCTATATGAATCGTTATGGAATACATTACGACATGCTACGCCTTGAGGAAGATGACAGATGGAGAACTAGAGGGATAGTTCAGTCTGGTATCCCGCTGCATGACGTACATATTTTGGCAGTTATAATAAACATCAGTGGTGTACAGTTTACAGAATTCTATAACCATGTTAATAAGGAATATTTCCACCCCTGGACTTGATGCCAGCTTTCATTCGTCGGGGCATACTTTGGTATATAATCGGAGGGTAACATTTGTCAGAGAGTACAAATGTTTTTTAATCGATTCCCAAAGCTCTGAGCTTGATGTAGGCATGTAACTTGTTTACCAATGATATCCAAGAGTGACTCAATTGGGCTCATGTCGGGAGAATTTCCGGGCCAGTCAAGCAGTGGTACCCCTTGGGTAGCCAAAAATGACGTGTGGATTTCGAATTATGGGCAGGGGCGTTATCTTGATGAAATACAAATTTCTTTTGAGGGAAAACGAGACATTTACAGTGTGGCTTGATATCATTTATGATTATTTGCTGGTACCTCAAACTGTTTAGGGTACCAGGTACCATTTTTAGGATACCAGGGCCATTAGGTGACATGTGACCCGACACATGGACTTGGGGTGGGTGCTTTGACGTGTGCTGAGAGCAGTAATGACGATACCCCTCAGTGTCTATTACTGAAGCATTAAATATTGATTCGTCTGAGAATATGACCTGGTTCCAATCCTGCACACTAAAATGCTTATGTGCCTTGGCCCAGAGAAGTCTCTTTTTCCGTTGACGTCTGTTCAAAAATGGTTTCCGGCTTTGAGGCCAAATAAACGCCTTGACATGACATATGACTTATGCGTCGGCCTAAAATACCTCTAAAATGTTCAGAGTCACAAACCTGTCTCTGAGGCACGTCTTCGTATCATTCTGTCTTCACGCTTAGTTGTACATCGGGGCCTGCCGGATCTTTTACGATCAGTTACACTACCAGTTGCCTTGTATTTCTGGTAGAGCGTTATCATGCCGTGAATGAGGGCAGAACATTTGAATTTTAAAGCCATGATCTGTTGCACATTCTTCCAAGCCATTCCCGACTCTCTGAGGCTAATTATTTGGCCCCTTTCAACTGCTGTCCAATATCGCCATCAAGCCATGCTTTCCTGATGAACAGAAGCCTTGAAAACAAGATGCTCGTTATTTAGAAGAGTATTGGGTCTTATTTCCATGCAATATTTGGTGTAAAGTGAATTTACGCCTACATGTTAATGGTTAGGCATGAATTGATACTATTTCGGAAATTATTCTCGAATTAGATTAGACTAATTAAAAAAACTGTCATTTTGATCAATTAAACTAGGTACTAGTTTTATTACAGTAAAACGTTATGATTGTTAGCATGGTAAATGTACAAAATCGCGCTTGACAGTCTGCTTACTTCCATTCCTGGTACTGCATGGAAAATCCGCTTGAAATGGGTTGGATAGATTGAAGCCATGTATGCGTAACTATATTATACATTTTCACTTTATTTCAAATGGCTACATGATATTTGCATGTTAAGTGCATCATATCAGCACTAATTGCTAAGTTTACAACAAACATACCCGAACGATCGAATGATAAGTGGAACATTGAGCTTAAATATGGGCATTTAACGGACTTTTGTAATGCAGCTGTACACACACTACATCCAAATGACGTTTTAGAGAGGAAGATACGTGTTACGATTGAGAAACAACCGTGACAAAAGTCTTGTGAATCCCCTTGAAATTTAAACCAGCAAAATATGACACAAACAAGTTTATAACACTCAGTTATATATTGAATAAAAAACAAGGCTACAATAAATGACCAGTTTCTGAAATAGAAACTCACCAGAGTCTTGATATTTCTGGTAAACAAATGCACGGATTGAAGATTGCAGACAGCTGTTGAACGATCAATGTGGACGAGTGGTAGGTCAGATCATTGTAGACGAGCGGTCTTGAAACGTCGATGTCAGCAGACAGACGGGCGTAAATCCAATGTAGTAGTCTCCCCCGCACATATCAACAACCGACCCTTATATACCTGCCATACAGTTCTAGAGAAATCCGGAAAAATCTTCGCAACAACTCAATCAAGTTTCTGGATCCTTTGCCGGAAGCATAACAAAGGGCCGGTAACTCTAATTTACTAAACAGGTAAAATTACACAGCCGAAGTTCACGATGGTAGTTCAAATCATAGACAGCGCTTTAAACTTTTGTTATATGTGACCCATATCAAATAAAGGTTTATTAATGTGACATTTTGATTAACAAAAAACACGTCCTCATGAAAATAATATCACTCATACTGTTTAAAAGCGACATGAAACTGTTTTCAAGAACGACAACGTGTATACTGCAAGATCCTCATTTAGTAGCAGGTGCTCTGAAGTTGAGCTGTAGCTTTCATATTGACATTCTGTATTTAAATCCTTAAACAGTCTCAGAATAGTTATAGATCATTGTCTAGTACTGAACATTAGTCAGTTTGGATGCTGATGTGCTGTTTTTTGTTACAGAATATAGCGTCGAAGACCATTCATCTTTGAGATGCGTTTTACCACAACCGCCTGGGTTGTGCTCGTGAGGTTGTTAGTCTACTGCAACATTGTCAGAGGTAGCAGATTCAGCAGGATCATCAAAAGCTCCGGCTACCGTAACGAAATCTGTACGGACGACGTCCACGAGCAGCATGAAGACGCTGTCAGTGTCATTGCCTGTGCCGTCATCTGCATTGGGGACTATGTATGTTTGTCTTATTCCTACGACAGTCTGACCTCAAAGTGCCGGACACACGATCAATGGAGTCCCTGTGTCGGAGGATCGCGATTTCGGTATTACAGAAGTTTAGGTAGGGTAGTATGAACATGTCACGATTTGAAAATAAAAACAACAAACTACTTTCATCATACGAATTCCTTTGTATGATTCCGATTGCACAATATGCATACTTTTATTAATATAATATCCAGTAGTTATAATACCAGGGCTACATTTTCGAAACAATCTACAATTATCGCAAAGAAGTAAATGTAGTCTGTCGAAACTATCCTACATGTAGCTCTAAGTCATCGTCATATTGTCGTAGCTCTAAGATAGTTCCATATCTGTCGTTCATTTTATATTTATCAAAGATGACGGCATATTTTTGTCACATATATTTCAAGGTGAAAATTGTTTTACTTGAAGACACTGACATTTCATTCTGTTAAACTCTGTGCTTCAAACTGACCCCTAGAATTGATGATACCAGGCCCTACATGTACATTTTCGAAACGATCGAAAATTATCGTAAAGAGGTAATTGTAGTCTGTCGAAACTGTCGTTGGTCTATGTCATCATAAGATTGTCGTAAATCTAAGATAGAATATTTTAACTTTATTCAAGATGACGGCTTATTTTGCCACATATTTATCAAAGAGAAAATTGCTTTACTTGAAGACACTGACATTTCATTCTGTTAAACTTTGTGCTTTAAACTGACCATTTGAATACACGAGGAACGCATAACATTTCACGACACAAATTTCTTCAACGCTGTTAGACGATTAAGGAAGGACAAATGCGGATGGTGTCAACTAGCAAGCGGTGTTATGTGCCTCTTAGCGAATCTTGCGTCAGACTGATGGCTTTGGGAATGATTACGTGTACATAAACTTTAATGTAAATTGGACAGAAACATATATGATTTACTCTTGTTTGTCTTTAAACGTTATGTTCAGAGCATAGTACATATTACCACTCAACTGGATATACATAGAGTATAACGAGATGCACGGGGTATGGACTCGGTTTGACCTCATATCGCCTACACCACTATTTCGCCTACAGCTTATATAAACATCCTGTCAAATCCCATCTACCCTGTTCAGGGAATGGAATGGCCCTATTCCACTGTAGTTTCATCGAATGCAACTTTTGCTGTTTGCTACAACCGAGATGCTGGAATTATTGAGCGACGCTGACATTCTCTTTATGGATGGTACATTCTTTGTGTGTCCTAACCTGTGGCTACAAGTGTACATCATTCATTGTCTGGTGAATGGTAAAATGTTTCCTGTCGCTTTTGCGTTGCTTCCCAACAAGACCAAGCGGACGTATGTTAGGCTTTTCACTTTGCTGAAGGATATTGTTGTGAGACGACTTGGCATCGAACTTTCACCAGAAATATTCCAGATCGACTATGAAGCAGCAGTTATCAGTGCTATTAGTGAAGTCTTCCCCGACAGTTCCGTCCGAGGTTGCCTATTCCATTATTCTCAAGCTTTGTGGCGTCAAGTTTTGAGAGGGACTGTCTCGCGACTACATGAACAACCCAGCAGTCCAAGCCCACGTTCGACGAGCAGCTGCTTTGCCACTCCTTTCCTGAACCAGGTCCAAGATGCTTGGTTTGAAGTCATCGAGCAGTCTCCCGACGGCGACAGAGTAGCAGCCTTCAACGACTACGTCACCAGCACCTGGGTTGAAGATGATGCCAAGTTCCCAGCACACATCTGGAACCAGCACGAAAAACACAGGCCCGCGCTCAAACAACCATCTTGAGGGATTCCACTCTGGCTTGAAGAAACGCATACCCCGATCACACCCCAACATCTACCAATTCGTAAAGGAGCTCAAGAAGATCGAGAAGGCAGACAGGCGCACAAGACGACAGTTTGGACTTGGAGGAGCAAGGAGACCACGAGCACGTGTAGACCGTGAACGAGATCAGAGGATCGAGAGACTCAAGGTGCAGCTTTCCACCGGTGTGAAGTCTGTGATGCAGTTCCTTGATGCTGTTGGCCACATCCTCAAGCTAAACTGAGAACTCAGTTCAATCAAACTCATAACTCTGTGTGCTCCTGATGACAATGAAGTGCTTTATTTATTTTAATTTAAAATCAAAGTCATTAATGTATTAAAGTAATGTGAATCACATACATTTGTTTGTTTTTCTTATCCCTTAGGCTGGTCCATTATTCCATGGGTAACATAGGCAGGAAATGGTGTGCAATGGTGCATAAAGTTGTTTTGATAAGACTGTAGGCGAAACGGTGATGTAGGCGATATGAGGACAGGCCATGGACTCACGGGTGTTTTACCTGTCCATTTACGCATCGAAGAGGCCATTATTTGCTTGTTTAGTGTTTGACGCCACCAGAGGGGTGATTATCATCATCTTTCTTTGTTTAGTTTGGTCTTCGTGACAGATTTTTTTATGTAGTAAATGTGTTAATCTTCTGAAATTGTTATTCTGACAATTATTGGGCTAATAGTAGATCTATGCACTTTTATGTTCCTTCCAGATCCCAGCCCAACGCCAGGTAAGTGATTTCGTCCTTTATATTACACCTACACATCAATACTCTTTATCAAGAAGTAATTCTTAGATAATTACTACAAAATGATTTCCATCCTAGCCGCAGCACCATCAGTTGAGAGAGACACACTTGTCTTAAGTCAGTATGAGTGTCCAGAGTCTGGATTAACGGGTTTTCCTTGTCCATTTACGCATCGAAGAGGCCATTATTTGCTTGTTTAGTGTTTGACGCCACCAGAGGGGTGATTATCATCATCTTTCTTTGTTTAGTTTGGTCTTCGTGACAGTTTTTTTGTGTAGTAAATGTGTTAATCTTCTGAAATTGTTATTCTGCCAATTATTGGGCTAATAGTACGCACTCTTATGTTCTTTCCAGATCCCAGTCCAACGCCAGGTAAGTGATTTCGTCCTTTATATTACACCTACACATCAATACTCTTTATCAAGAAGTAATTCTTAGATAATTACTACAAAATGATTTCCATCCTAGCCGCAGCACCATCAGTTGAGAGAGACACACTTGTCTTAAGTCAGTATGAGGGTCCAGGGTCTGGATTAACGGGTTTTCCGTGTCCAGATACACATCAGGGAGGCCATTATTTGCTTGTTTAGTGTTTGACGCCACCAGAGGGGTGATTATCATCATCTTTCTTTGTTTAGTTTGGTCTTCGTGACAGTTTTTTTGTGTAGTAAATGTGTTAATCTTCTGAAATTGTTATGATGCCAATTATTGGGCTAATAGTATGCACTTTTTATGTTCTTTCCAGATCCCAGTCCAACGCCAGGTAAATGATTTCGTCCTTTATATTCCACCTATACATCAATACTCTTTGTCACCAAAAGTAATTCTTAGATATTAAGGCAAAAATGATTTTCTTCCAAGCCGCACCACCATAAACTGACAGAGACACATATGTGTTAAATCAGTATGAGAATCCAGAGTCTGGATTGACGGTTCTAGTTTCCTTGTCCAGATACGCATCGAAGAGGCCATTATTTGCTTGTTTAGTGTTTAACGCCACCAGAGGGGGTGATTATCATCCTCTTTCTTTGTTTAGTTTGGTCTTCGTTACAGATTTTAATGTAGTAAATGTCTAAATCTTCTGAAATTGTTATTCTGCCACTTATTGGATTAATAGTACTATGCACTTTATGTTCTTTCCAGATCCCATCCCAACGCCAGGTAAGTGATTTCGTCCTTTATATTACACCTATACATCAATACTCTTTGTCAACAAGAAGTAATTCTTAGATAATTACTACAAAGTGATTTCCATTCAAGTCGCACCACCATCAGTTGACAGAGACACATATGTCTTAAGTCAGTATGAGGGTCCAGGGTCTGGATTAACGGGTTTTCCGTGTCCAGATACACATCAGGGAGGCCATTATTTGCTTGTTTAGTGTTTGACGCCACCAGAGGGGTGATTATCATCATCTTTCTTTGTTTAGTTTGGTCTTCGTGACAGTTTTTTTGTGTAGTAAATGTGTTAATCTTCTGAAATTGTTATTCTGCCAATTATTGGGCTAATAGTACGCACTCTTATGTTCTTTCCAGATCCCAGTCCAACGCCAGGTAAGTGATTTCGTCCTTTATATTACACCTACACATCAATACTCTTTATCAAGAAGTAATTCTTAGATAATTACTACAAAATGATTTCCATCCTAGCCGCAGCACCATCAGTTGAGAGAGACACACTTGTCTTAAGTCAGTATGAGTGTCCAGAGTCTGGATTAACGGGTTTTCCTTGTCCAGATACGTACAGTGGAAACTGCCTAAGTAAAGACCGCTTAACTAAACAGACCTGATAAGTAAACACTTTTCTTTGGTCCCGGCAAATTTCTTCATTAATTATCACTATTAGAGTCTGGTTAACTAAACTCGGATAAGTAAATAATACCGCTTAACTAAACGTCTTCTCACGGTCCCTGGAAGTAAATTACTTAACAAAAGAGACTGGATAACTAAATTAGCGATCACCACATAATCCGACATGAGGGGCAGTCGTGTCAGTCTCTAGTCAAACAAACATCCTACTTACAGCTCGCTGGCGTCAAGCAGTTGACAATACACTGACAACTGGAGGCCAGCCCTGATAAGTTGTTCATTGTTACATATGCATACATATACATGCATACAGTTGTCATTTGCAGGTTTTTATAAGTTTGGATAAGTAAAATACCTGATAAGTAAACAATTTTGGCGAGTCCCTTGAAATTTTACTTATCAGGTTTCCACTGGATGCGCATCGGAGAGGCCATTATTTGTTTGTTTATTATTTGGCGCCACCAGAGGAGACATTATTATCATATTTCCAAATTAAGTATGGAATATGGGTGACAGTTTTAATGTAGTGAATATCTAAATCTTCTAAAATTGTTTTGATGAAAATTATTGGATTAATAGTATGCACTTTTATGTTCTTTCCAGATCGCCACCAAAACCTAGGCAAGTGATTTCGCTTTTTATATTACACCTACAGAGCACTATTCTTTATCAACAAGTAAGTAATAGATAATTACTGCAAAATGATTTCCATTCTAGCCGCAGGACCATCAGTTGAGAGAGACACACATGTCTTAAGTCAGCATGAGTGTCCAGAGTCTGGATTAACGGGGTTTTTCCTGGCCACATACGCATCGGAGAGGCCATTATTTGTTTGTTTATTATTTGGCGCCACCAGAGGAGACATTATAATCTTATTTCTAAATTAAGTATGGAATATGGGTGACAGCTTTTAATGTAGGAAAACTCTAAATCTTCTAAAATTGTTATTATGCCAATCGTTGGGTTAATAGTATGTACTTTTATGTTCTTTCTAGATGGTAGGCCAACACAAGGTAAGTGCATTCATTCTTTATTTGCCACCTATACATCGGTACTCTTTTTCAGCGAGTAATTCGTAGATAATTACTGCAAAAATGACTTCCATTCTAGCCACAGCACCATCAGTCGACAGAGACACACATTAGGTAAATCAGTATGAGGCTCCATGATCTGTATTCACGTGTATTTTCTTGTCCAGATACACATCGTCGAGGCCATTACCTACTTGTTTATTGTTCAGCGAGACCAGAGGGGTCGTTATCACGATCTTTCTCTGTTTTGTTTGGTGTATGTTACATTTTTAATGCAGTGAATCTCTAAATCTTCTGAAATTGTAATGATGCCAATTATTGGATGAATACTATGCACTTTCCTGTTCTTTCCAGATCCGAGCTCAAAGCCAGGTAAATGATTTCGTTCTTATATTCCACCTATACATCAGTACTCTTTGTCACCAAATGTAATTCTTAGATATTAAGGCTAAGTTGATTTTCTTCCAAGCCGCACCACCATAAGCTGATTTCGTCGTTGAATTCCACCTATACATCATCAGTACTACAGAGACACATATTTGTTTAGTCAACTTGAGAATCCAGTGTCTGGAATGACTGGTTCTAATTTCCTTGTCCAGATACACATCGCCGAGGCGATTACTTGCTTGTTTATTGTTTAACGCCACCAGAGGGGTGATTATCATCCTCTTTCTCTGTTTAGTTTGAAGTACGTTACAGATTTTAATGTAGTCAATCTCTAAATCTTCTGAAATTGTTATTCTGGCACTTATTGGACTAATAGTAGATCTATGCACTTTCATGTTCTTTCCAGATCGCATCCCAACTCCAGGTAAATGATTTTGTCCTTATATTCCACCTATACATCTGTACTCTTTGTCACCAAATGTAATTCTTAGATATTAAGGCTAAGTTGATTTTCTTCCAAGCCGCACCACAATAAACTGACAGAGACACATATTTGTTTAGTCAACTTGAGAATCCAGAGTCTGAAATGACTTGTTCCAGTTTCCTTGTCCAGTTCCACATCGCCGAGGCGATTACTTGCTTGTTTATTGTTTAAGGCCACCAGAGGGGTGATTATCATCCTCTTTCTCTGTTTAGTTTGAAGTACGTTACAGATTTTAGTGTAGTAAATCTCTAAATCTTCTGAAATTGTTATTCTGGCACTTATTGGATTAATAGTAGATCTATGCACTTTCCTGTTCTTTCCAGATCCGAGCCAAACGCCAGGTAAATGATTTCGTCCTAAAATTTCATCTATACATCAGTACTCTTTGTCACCAAATGTAATTCTTAGATATTAAGGCTACGATGATTTTGTTCCAAGCCGCACCACCATAAGCTGACAGAGACACATATTTGTTTAGTCAGCTTGAGAATCCAGTGTCTGGAATGACTGGTTCTAATTTCCTTGTCCAGATACACATCGCCGAGGCGATTACTTGCTTGTTTATTGTTTAACGCCACCAGAGGGGTGATTATCATCCTCTTTCTCTGTTTAGTTTGAAGTACGTTACAGATTTTAATGTAGTCAATCTCTAAATCTTCTGAAATTGTTATTCTGGCACTTATTGGATTAATAGTAGATCTATGCACTTTCATGTTCTTTCCAGATCGCATCCCAACTCCAGGTAAGTGATTTCGTCCTTTATATTACACCTACACATCAATACTCTTCATGAAGAAGTACTTCTTAGATAATTACTGCAAAATGATTTCCATCCTAGCCACAGCACCATCAGTCGAGAGAGACACACATATCTTAAGTCAGTAATAGTGTACAGAGTCTGGATTAACGGGTTTTCCCTGTACCAGATATGCATCGAAGAGGCCATTATTTGTTTGTTTATTATTTGGCGCCACCAGAGGAGACATTATTATCATATTTCCAAATTAAGTATGGAATATGGGTGACAGTTTTAATGTAGTGAATATCTAAATCTTCTAAACTTGTTATGATGCCAATTATTGTTTTGAAAGTATGCACTTTTATGTTCTTTCCAGATCGCCACCAAAAGCCAGGTAAGTGATTTCGCTTTTTATATTACACCTACAGAGCACTATTCTTTATCAACAAGTAAGTAATAGATAATTACTGCAAAATGATTTCCATTCTAGCCGCAGCACCATCAGTTGAGAGAGACACACATGTCTTAAGTCAGCATGAGTGTCCAGAGTCTGGATTAACGGGGTTTTCCCTGGCCACATACGCATCGGAGAGGCCATTATTTGTTTGTTTATTATTTGGCGCCACCAGAGGAGACATTATAATCTTATTTCTAAATTAAGTATGGAATATGGGTGACAGCTTTTAATGTAGGAAAACTCTAAATCTTCTAAAATTGTTATTATGCCAATCGTTGGGTTAATAGTATGTACTTTTATGTTCTTTCTAGATGGTAGGCCAACACAAGGTAAGTGCATTCATTCTTCATTTGCCACCTATACATCGGTACTCTTTTTCAGCGAGTAATTCGTAGATAATTACTGCAAAAATGACTTCCATTCTAGCCGCAGCACCATCAGTCGACAGAGACACACATTAGGTAAATCAGTATGAGGTTCCATGATTTGGATTCACGGGTTTTTTCTTGTCCAGATACACATCGCCGAGGCCATTACCTACTTGTTTATTGTTCAGCGAGACCAGAGGGATCGTTATCACGATCTTTCTCTGTTTTGTTTGGTGTATGTTACATTTTTAATGTAGTAAATCTCTAAATCTTCTGAAATTGTAATGATGCCAATTATTGGATGAATACTATGCACTTTCCTGTTCTTTCCAGATCCCAGCCCAACTCCAGATAAATGATTTCGTCCTTATATTCCACCTATACATCAGTACTCTTTGTCACCAAATGTAATTCTTAGATATTAAGGCTAAGTTGATTTTCTTCCAAGCCGCACCACCATAAGCTGCCAGAGACACATATTTGTTTAGTCAACTTGAGAATCCAGTGTCTGGAATGACTGGTTCTAATTTCCTTGTCCAGATACACATCGCCGAGGCGATTACTTGCTTGTTTATTGTTTAACGCCACCAGAGGGGTGATTATCATCCTCCTTCTCTGTTTGGTTTGGTGTACGTGACAGTTTTTTATGTAGTTAATCTCTAAATCTTCTGAAATTGTTATTATGGCACTTATTGGATTAATAGTAGATCTATGCACTTTCATGTTCTTTCCAGATCGCATCCCAACTCCAGGTAAGTGATTTTGTCCTTATATTCCACCTATACATCAGTACTCTTTGTCAACAAGAGGTAATTCTTAGATATTAGCTGTAAGTGTATTTCCTTTCAAGTCGGACCACCGTCAGTTGACAGAGAGACATATTTGTGTAGACAGTATGAGGGTCCAGGGTCTGGATTGACGGGTTTTCCGTGTCCAGATACACATCAGGGAGGCCATTATTTGTTTGTTTAGTGTTTAACGCCACCAGAGGGGTGACTATCATCCTCTTTCTTTGTTTAGTTTGGTGTAAGTGACCGGTTTTTATGTAGTAAATCTCTAAATCTTCTGAAATTGTTATTCTGACAACTATTGGGCTAATAGTAGATCTATGCACTTTCATGTTCTTTCCAGATCGCATCCCAACTCCAGGTAAGTGATTTCGTCCTTTATATTACACCTACACATCAATACTCTATCATGAAGAAGTAATTCTTAGATAATTACTGCAAAATGATTTTTCCATCCTAGCCACAGCACCATCAGTTTATTATTTGGCGCCACCAGAGAGAGACATTATTATCATACACATATCTTTTAAGTGCCAGTATGAGTGTCGCCACCAAAAGCCAGAGTCTGGATTAACGATAATTACTGGTTTAGCCGCAGCACCTGTTGAGAGAGACACACACACCAGATACGCATCAGATACGCAGAGGCCATTATTTGTTTGTTTATTATTTGGCGCCACCAGAGGAGACATTATAATCTTATTTCTAAATTAAGTATGGAATATGGGTGACAGCTTTTAATGTAGGAAAACTCTAAATCTTCTAAAATTGTTATTATGCCAATCATTGGGTTAATAGTATGTACTTTTATGTTCTTTCTAGATGGTAGGCCAACACAAGGTAAGTGCATTCATTCTTTATTTTCCACCTATACATCGGTACTCTTTTCCAGCGAGTAATTCGTAGATAATTACTGCAAAAATGACTTCCATTCTAGCCGCAGCACCATCAGTCGACAGAGACACACATTAGGTAAATCAGTATGAGGTTCCATGATCTGTATTCACGGGTTTTTTCTTGTCCAGATACACATCGTCGAGGCCATTACCTACTTGTTTATTGTTCTGCGAGACCAGAAGGATCGTTATCACGATCTTTCTCTGTTTTGTTTGGTGTATGTTACATTTTTAAAATAGTGAATCTCTAAATCCTCTGAAATTGTAATGATGCCAATTATTGGATGAATACTATGCACTTTCCTGTTCTTTCCAGATCCGAGCCCAACTCCAGGTAAATGATTTCGTCCTTATATTCCACCTATACATCAGTACTCTTTGTCACCAAATGTAATTCTTAGATATTAAGGCTAAGTTGATTTTCTTCCAAGCCGCACCACCATAAGCTGCCAGAGACACATATTTGTTTAGTCAGCTTGAGAATCCAGTGTCTGGAATGACTGGTTCTAATTTCCTTGTCCAGATACACATCGCCGAGGCGATTACTTGCTTGTTTATTGTTTAACGCCACCAGAGGGGTGATTATCATCCTCTTTCTCTGTTTAGTTTGAAGTACGTTACAGATTTTAATGTAGTCAATCTCTAAATCTTCTGAAATTGTTATTATGGCACTTATTGGATTAATAGTAGATCTATGCACTTTCCTGTTCTTTCCAGATCGCATCCCAAAGCCAGGTAAGTGATTTTGTCCTTATATTCCACCTATACATCAGTACTCTTTGTCAACAAGAGGTAATTCTTAGATATTAGCTGTAAGTGTATTTCCTTTCAACTCGGACCACCGTCAGTTGACAGAGAGACATATTTGTGTAGACAGTATGAGGGTCCAGGGTCTGGATTAACGGGTTTTCCGTGTCCAGATACACATCAGGGAGGCCATTATTTGTTTGTTTATTGTTTTACGCCACCAGAGGGGTGATTATCATCCTCTTTCTTTGTTTAGTTTGGTGTACGTGACCGGTTTTTATGTAGTAAATCTCTAAATCTTCTGAAATTGTTATTCTGACAATTATTGGGCTAATAGTAGATCTATGCACTTTCATGTTCTTTCCAGATCGCATCCCAACTCCAGGTAAGTGATTTCGTCCTTTATATTACACCTACACATCAATACTCTATATGAAGAAGTAATTCTTAGATAATTACTGCAAAATGATTTCCATCCTAGCCACAGCACCATCAGTCGAGAGACACACATATCTTAAGTCAGTATGAGTGTACAGAGTCTGGATTAACGGGTTTTCCCTGTACCAGATACGCATCGAAGAGGCCATTATTTACTTGTTTATTATTAGGCGCCACCAGAGGAGGACGTTATTACGATCTTTCTAAATTAAGTATGGTGTATGGGTGACAGTTTTAATGTAGTGAATCTCTAAATCTTCTAAATTGTTATGATGCCAATTATTGTTTTGAATAGTATGCACTTTTATGTTCTTTCCAGATCGCCACCCAGTAAAGTGATTTCAACTCCAGGTAAAGGCACTATTCTTTTTCAACAAGTAAGTCATAGATAATTACTGCAAAATGATTCCAGCCTATCAGTTGAGAGAGACAAACATGTCTCTTAAGTCAGCATGAGTGTCCAGAGTCTGGATTAACAGGGTTTTCCCTGGCCACATACGCATCGGAGGCCATTATTTATTAAGGACCAGAGGAGACATTATAATCTTATTTCTAAATTACAATGGGTGACAGCTTGTAATGTAGGAAAACTCTAAATCTTCTAAAATTGTTATTATGCCAGTCATTGGGTGAATAGTATGTACTTTTATGTTCTTTCTAGATGGTAGGCCAACACGAGGGTAAAAGATTTCGGCGTAAATACATCAGTAACTTTGTCAAATGTAATACTCAGACAGTCAGTCTAAGGTGATTTTCTTCTAAGCCGCACCACCATGTTGACTAAACAAATATGTGTTTCAAGCTGCCAGAGACACATATTTGTTTAGTCAGCTTGAGAATCCAGTGTCTGGAATGACTGGTTCTAATTTCCTTGTCCAGATACACATCGCCGAGGCGATTACTTGCTTGTTTATTGTTTAACGCCACCAGAGGGTGATTATCATCCTCTTTCTCTGTTTAGTTTGAAGTACGTTACAGATTTTAATGTAGTCAATCTCTAAATCTTCTGAAATTGTTATTATGGCACTTATTGGATTATTAGTAGATCTATGCACTTTCATGTTCTTTCTAGAACGCATCCCAACTCCAGGTAAGTGATTTTGTCCTTATATTCCACCTATACATCAGTACTCTTTGTCACCAAATGTAATTCTTAGATATTAAGGCTAAGTTGATTTTCTTCCAAGCCGCACCACCACAAACTGACAGAGACACATATTTGTTTAGTCAACTTGAGAATCCAGAGTCTGGAATGACTGGTTCTAATTTCCCTGTCCGGATACACATCGCCTAGGCGATTACTTGCTTGTTTATTGTTTAAGGCCACCAGAGGGGTGATTATCATCCTCTTTCTCTGTTTAGTTTGAAGTACGTTACAGATTTTAAGGTAGTAAATCTCTACATCTTCTGAAATTGTTATTCTGGCAATTATTGGGCTAATAGTACGCACTCTTATGTTCTTTCCAGATCGCATCCCAACTCCAGGTAAGTGATTTCGTCCTTTATATTACACCTACACATCAATACTCTTCATGAAGAAGTACTTCTTAGATAATTACTGCAAAATGATTTCCATCCTAGCCGCAGGACCATCAGTCGAGAGAGACACACATGTCTTAAGTCAGTATGAGTGTCCATAGTCTGGATTAACAGGTTTTTCCTGTACCAGATACGCATCGAAGAGGCCATTATTTGTTTGTTTATTATTTGGCGCCACCAGAGGAGACATTATTATCATATTTCCAAATTAAGTATGGAATATGGGTGACAGTTTTGATGTAGTGAATATCTAAATCTTTTAAAATTGTTATGATGCCAATTATTGTTTTGAAAGAATGCACTTTTATGTTCTTTCCAGATCGCCACCAAAAGCCAGGTAAGTGATTTCGTTTTTTATATTACACCTACAGAGCACTATTCTTTATCAACAAGTAAGTCATAGATAATTACTGAAAAATGATTTCCATTCTAGCCGCTGCACCATCAGTTGAGAGAGACACACATGTCTTAAGTCAGTATGAGTGTCCAGAGTCTGGATTAACGGGGTTTTCCCTACCCAGATACGCATCGGAGAGGCCATTATTTGTTTGTTTATTATTTGGCGCCACCAGAGGAGACATTATAATCTTATTTCTAAATTAACTATGGAATATGGGTGACAGCTTTTAATGTAGGAAAACTCTCAATCTTCTAAAATTGTTATTATGCCAATCATTGGGTTAATAGTATGTACTTTTATGTTCTTTCTAGATGGTAGGCCAACACAAGGTAAGTGCATTCATTCTTTATTTTTCACCTATACATCGGTACTCTTTTCCAGCGGGTAATTCGTAGATAATTACTGCAAAAATGACTTCCATTCTAGCCGCAGCACCATCAGTCGACAGAGACACACATTAGGTAAATCAGTATGAGGTTCCATGATTTGGATTCACGGTTTTTTTCTTGTCCAGATACACATCGTCGAGGCCATTACCTACTTGTTTATTGTTCAGCGAGACCAGAAGGATCGTTATCACGATCTTTCTCTGTTTTGTTTGGTGTATGTTACATTTTTAATGTAGTGAATCTCTAAATCTTCTGAAATTGTAATGATGCCAATTATTGGATGAATACTATGCACTTTCCTGTTCTTTCCAGATCCCAGCCCAACGCCAGGTAAATGATTTCGTCCTTATATTCTACCTATACATCAGTACTCTTTGTCACCAAATGTAATTCTTAGATATTAAGGCTAAGGTGATTTTCTTCTAAGCCGCACCACCATAAGCTGCCAGAGACACATATTTGTTTAGTCAGCTTGAGAATCCATTGTCTGGAATGACTGGTTCTAATTTCCTTGTCCAGATACACATCGCCGAGGCGATTACTTGCTTGTTTATTGTTTAAGGCCACCAGAGAGGTGATTATCATCCTCTTTCTCTGTTTAGTTTGAAGTACGTTACAGATTTTAGTGTAGTAAATCTCTAAATCTTCTGAAATTGTTATTCTGGCACTTATTGGATTAATAGTAGATCTATGCACTTTCATGTTCTTTCCAGATCGCATCCCAACTCCAGGTAAGTGATTTTGTCCTTATATTCCACCTATACATCAGTACTCTTTGTCAACAAGAGGTAATTCTTAGATATTAGCTGTAAGTGTATTTCCTTTCAACTCGGACCACCGTCAGTTGACAGAGAGACATATTTGTGTAGACAGTATGAGGGTCCAGGGTCTGGATTAACGGGTTTTCCGTGTCCAGATACACATCGGGGAGGCCATTATTTGTTTGTTTATTGTTTTACGCCACCAGAGGGGTGATTATCATCCTCTTTCTTTGTTTAGTTTGGTGTACGTGACCGGTTTTTATGTAGTAAATCTCTAAATCTTCTGAAATTGTTATTCTGACAATTATTGGGCTAATAGTACGCACTCATATGTTCTTTCCAGATCGCATCCCAACTCCAGGTAAGTGATTTCGTCCTTTATATTACACCTACACATCAATACTCTTCATGAAGAAGTACTTCTTAGATAATTACTGCAAAATGATTTCCATCCTAGCCACAGCACCATCAGTCGAGAGAGACACACATATCTTAAGTCAGTATGAGTGTCCGTAGTCTGGATTAACGGGTTTTCCCTGTACCAGATATGCATCGAAGAGGCCATTATTTGTTTGTTTATTATTTGGCGCCACCAGAGGAGACATTATTATCATATTTCCAAATTACATATTGAATATGGGTTACAGGTTTTAATGTAGGAAAACTCTAAAACTTCTGAAATTGTTATTATGCCAATCATTGGGTTAATAGTATGTACTTTTATGTTCTTTGTAGATGACAGGCCAACACAAGGTAAGGGCTTTCATTCTTTATTTTCAACCTATACATCAGTACTCGTTTTTGTCAACAAAGGTAATTCTTAGATAATTACTTCAAAAATGATTTCCATTTCAGCCGGAGCACCATCAGTTGACAGAGACACACATTTGCTTAATCAGTATGAGGGGTCCATGGTCTGATTAACGGGTTTTCTCTGTCCAGATACACATCGGAGGTCATTATTTGCTTGTTTTATTGTTTAACGAGACCAGAGGATCATTATCATTATATTTCTCTGTTTACTAGTATATAGTACATGTGACAGTTCTGATGTTCTAAATCTTCTGAAATTGTTATGATGCCAATTATTGGGCTAATAGTATGTACGTTTATGTTCTTTCCAGATCGCAGACCAACACAAGGTAAGTGATTTCGTCCTCTATGTTCCACCTATACATCAGTAATTTGTCAACAAAGTTAATTGTTAGATACTAACTGCAAGATCATTTCAATCCTAGCCGAAGCATGATCAGTCCACAGAGAGACACATTTGTTAAGTCAGTATGAGGGTCCAGGGTCTCGATTAACGTGTTTTTCCTGTCCAGATACACATCTGAGAGGTCATTATTTGCTTGTTTGTTTATTATTTAACATCACCAGAGGGGTCATTATCATTGTATTTCTGTTTAGTTTCTAGTACATGTTGACAGTTGTTAATGTAGTAAATCTCTAAATCTTCTGAAATTGTTATGGTACCAATTATTGGGCTAATAGTATGTACGTTTATGTTCTTCCAGATCGCAGACCAACACAAGGTAAGTGATTTCGTCCTTATATTCCACCTATACATCAGTACTCTTTGTCAACAAAAGTTAATTGATAGATATTAACTGCAAGATCATTTCCTTCCAAGCCGGACCACCGTCAGTTGACAGAGAGACACATTTGTGTAGACAGTATGAGGGTCCAGGGTCTGGATTAACGTGGTTTTCCCTGTCCAGATACACACATCTGAGAGGTCATTATTTGCTTGTTTGTTTATTTTTAACACCACCAGAGGGTGATTATCATTGTATTTCTTTGTTAGTAGTACGTGACAGTTTTAATGTAGTAAATCTCTAAATCTTCTGAAACTGTTATTCTACCAATTATTGGGCTGAATAGTATGCACTTTCATGTTCTTTCCAGATCGCAGCCCAACTCCAGGTAAGTGATTTCGTCCTCTATATTCCACCTTTTACATCAGTACTGTATTTTGTTAACAAAAGTTAATTGTAAAGATCATCAGACTATGACTGCAAGATCATTTCAATCCGTTAGAAGTTTTTTCCAGATCGTAGACGTCCAAGGTAGAGAGACACATTTGTTCCAACCTTACATCAGTACATCAGTAATTCCCAAATTTCTTTTAGTATCGAGTAATGTTAATGTTGTAAATCTCTAAATCTTCTGAAACTGTTATGATACCAATTACTGGGCTAATAGTATGTACGTTTATGATGTTTCCAGATCGCAGACCAACACAAGGTATGTGCTTTTGTCCTAAATAATCAGCTTTTACATTAGCACTCTTAGTTCTGAAAAGTTAATTCTTAGATATTAACTGCATGTCATTTCCATCCTAGCCGCAGCACCATAAGCCCACCGAGACACACATTTTGTATTTCAGAATATAGGGTCTATGGTCTCCATTAACGGGTGTTCCCTGTCCAGATACACATGGGAGAGGTCATTATTTGCTTGAACTGTTTAGGAGGCATTCTAGAGTTGTAAGCAATAGGAATGTCAAAAAGTGTTTATGGATGATCAACTTTTCTTTACTAACTGCGATTTCGGTCATAGATGCTTATACCTTTGAAGCATGATATATCATTATTTGCTTGTTTGTTTATTGTTTAATGCCACCAGAGGGGTCAATGTTGTGATTCTTTATATTTAGTTTGGGGTAATAGTCTGACAGTTTTTAATGTAGTCAGAGTTTCTTTATTTCTGAACTGTAGGCCAGAGGCCGATAGTACAAGTACAAAACAGTTACAATGGGTGTGTGGTACAAGCGTTTGCGTTTTAACAGTGCATGGTGTATAAACGTAGCAATATTCTGAAGTAGCTGTACATGTTCTGTTGACATTAGTATGCTGAATTTGTAAGATGTTAGGACAGGACGTGTACTTAGATGGTATATAATACTTTCTTAGGTCTTGATACTGTGGACAGATGAGAAGGACATGATATTCATCTTCAGTAATATCCCTGTCACAAATTTTGCAGGATTGGCTCTCAGTAACATGACATATTCTTTTAAAATACATTAAATCATAGTAGCCACATCGAAACTGCGATAACGATACCTTTAATTTAATTTTATACTTACGTCTCGTTAAATACTTTTCACACATAAAATGTTGTTTAAACAATGGAATACCAATAAGAACATTTTCCAGTTTGAATATTTCTGGTCCACTCTTGCTGGAAGCAATCCTTTACATCGTTGTTGAACAATGGATAGAAAAACTGTAGCATCCCTTAACTCCCTGACCGACCCATGGCTATCCAAGACCAAGTTTGAACAATGTCTTTTTGATTAACATAGCCCAGTTGTGCTTATTTCTTAGCCTCGCTAGCATTTTCAACCAGATACTGAGCATCGAAGTCTTTTAAGGGGTAGCGGTGAGGACGCATTGAAATGACTTTCAACCAATATAAGATAGAACGTTTCGCTAAGATATAGATAGGGTATCTTCCGCATCTCACCTAATACAATATCACGTTGGATGTTGATCTGGTAGATGCCCAGAAAGTTTTTCTTACAAGCTTACCGAATTGAATTTTTTCAGTGCTTTTAAATCATTGAACACCCTACACCTCAGAACCATATAATAAATTGGTAGGATTTAGCGTCAAAAGATTTTAAAATATCATAGTTCATATGAGAGATTTTCAAACTTAAACAAGCTATGTTGAACGGTTATAAGAGCCTTCTTAGCTTCTTTAAGAGTCAGGATTGTTTATAGCTGCCTGCCAAGAGAGATTTCTAGTAAAATAGCATGCCAAGGTATCTATATGATGATGAAACTTTAATTGAGCAAGTTTGTAGGTCCACTTTTCCGTTCTAGAAAAGTCTCGCCCTCATGTTAAATAAATACATTCAAATACTTCTGTGTTTACTTTATTCGATGTACGCACACATGCTTTCACGTTATGGCACACAGATCGTAAACACTTTTATCCATTTTTGACCCTAGTCCGTTCTTTCGAATAGATACCAGAGCTTTTGTATATCTGTTGACGGAATCGAACGCTTTTGAAAATCACTAAAACAAGCATAGAGTTTTCCACCCTTTGGGAGGTATTTACTGATAAGGGCCTGTAGGGTGTAAAATGTTATCAATGGTAGAGTATCCTGATCGGAACCAGCTTGTTCCTCCTTTTAATTTTATTGCAGCACTCGGCCCAGAATACAAGCATATAACTTGCCAAATACACTGAGAAGTGATATGGCACGGTAATTTGTGGTAAGTAAGGTTTTATCTCCATTTTATAAAATGGATAATGATAGCTTTGGACCAGGGACAAAGGGAACTCTCCTTTATCATAAAAAAGAATTGAATAAAATTTCCAGAAAAGGTAGGAGAATATTTGCTGAAGACTTAAACATTTCACCAATTATGTAATCCTCCCCAGACGCTTTATTTGCCTTGAGCTTGGTAATACTGGAGTATATTTCTCCCATACCTACCTTGGTGAATCAAATACATCATCAGGGGTTTGCAAGTCACATTGACTGAACAAGATGTAATCATCGAGCGATGGATCGTCGCTTGGGTCATTCTGGTTTTCAGCAAACAGGTCCCTGAAAGTTGTTAAACCAAGTCTCTGGAGATATATTACTAGTATCCCATGATGAAACCCCACCGGTTACAGGTTTCAGCTTGCGCCAGAACATTTAGGGTCACCATTGAATCATCTCAATTCAATTAATTGCTTATCGTCCTGGTTGCGCTTTTGGCTAGTCTTAAAAGCTGATTTGTATGCATTTCTACTTGTTACATAAGCGGCTAGGAGACGCCTTCGTCTTTTGCGTTTACGGAAATATGTTCAAGAAATGACAGTGCTGATTTTTAAAAGATCGACACGCATTTTTAAACCAATGAGATATACCTTGCTGCGTGACGTAACAACTCGCTTCCATACAAATCAGCTGGACTCAATAATACGTCAGCAAACATGTTAACCCCTTGTTCAATAATATCAAAAAAAGAAATATACGCTGCATCATTCAAAGAGTCAGATGAGAGCTTTCGAGCGTTGACACATAGATATCTTCTTTGAAATCGTGCTTCCACGTGTACTTTGGTGAAGCATGAATCAGAAGTAGCCGTGCTGTTATCAGAAATATTACTCGAACCTTTATTGGTAGGTAATGGAGAATATAATTGGCAGGTGTTAAGAATCAGTTTTGAAAGGATGTCGAAAGATAATATTTCTATAAATGGGTTCTGATCCAATGACATAATCAATAACGCTGCAAACCATTTTTACTAATAAAAGTAAAATCACCAACACCTTTATCGCTTCCACAGCGGCCATTGAATATGTGCAAATTATGGAGTCTACATAGCTCGATCAGGTATTTGCCAAATACATTTTACCTGTCACAAGAGAAACTGTCGTTCCTAAAATGATCAGATACGTAATCATTCATACTTCTTCAAAATCAGGTGCAATATACTGGAAGTTATCATCAGTGAAGTCATCTATTATGCCGGTTCTTCCATTAAAGTCCCCACATAGGACACTTTCATAATCTGATCATGTGGACGTAAAATCATTGTAATTATCAAACAGTAACAATATGCCGTTTTTACAAGTCTATATCTTTGTACCAGTTGAACCTCCCGGTTGAATGTATACAAAAAGTGAACAGCACATCTTTCCCCAAATGGAAACAACAAAGATTTGTCGAATAGCAGAAATATGCAAAGTTAGTGCTTTAAGAACATTCTTCACAACTTAACAAGATATAGATTCCATCGATTACCATATCTGCCTGATATCCTCCGCTGGCAGTTGATATCCTTTGTTTCTGAACAGCAAAACACTTGTGATTTTGGGAAAAGGTGAGAATAGTCGTCACTTGTCCATGTTTCTGATAGATGGAAAAATATCAAAAGTCTTAACAAAGTCAAGAAAACATATATCGTTTTCTTTATTTTTATACCAGAAATATTCCACATGGAGATATAAACGTGTTGTCGAGGTCCGTAGAGATTTCGTGTGTGTTTGGACGAGCTCTCGCTCGTGTCCCTATGGCCCTCTTAGAGGTGGTAACTGGGACCGTTCCTGTTAAAACGAACGGTTCGTCTACCGTTATCCTTTTCTCCATGCTGTTGGAGTTTCACGTGTGGAATGTCTACATATTGACGATTACGAGTTTTCCATTCTTGTAATCAGCTCCTCTACTACCGTTCGTTGATAGGTCACGAAGAGTTTCTCTCTGGTTCGCAGTGATCGCTTGTACGACAACAAGCTCTTCGATCTTTTAAATCCTCTCTTGTTGCGCCTGTCTTTGTCTCCGTGTTCCAGAATGAAACAATGATAGGTCTGGGTTTGAGTCAAGCTGTCACCACCTAATCTGTGCAGGATCTTTTATGTCGCTCGTTTGTATAGGTTAACGTCCATCGCCACACCCAGAGCTTTGTTCCGTCGAACCCCTTTGATTTTACTTCCTCGCTATAGGGATTCACCTCAACGCATCCTCTGAATGTCAAAGAGGATACCGATTATCTCTGCAGTTGTAGATCTCAATCTCTATTCACTTGTCAAGCTCCTCAACCTTTGACGAAATAGATAGAGCGTTGATCCTGTAGTTGTTCGTCTATAGCGTCCAAGTCTAAGCGTAGAACATGATGGTCATCATTAGGTTTTACAACATCATCTTTCTGTCCATTTATGACCGCAGAAACTGACTTCAGTGTTTTCCTGGACATTAGATCACTTCACACCCTAAGCTGACTTCACGCTTTGTTGTACTTCTTCCCTGACTAGTTGTTTTCTCTCGGTGAGGAGAACGGATATAACTTCCGACTTAGATCTTTCGAGAGGAACGTTGTCCTTGGTCCAGGATTGATTCAACATCACCACAACATAATGGTGGTTTGCCTGGATAATGGAAGTTGCAAAACCTGCATCGAGTAAGTCAGAGTGAGGGAACGTAACGGCAAAGTTAGGTGCCGAGTTCTGACTATGCAACATCGTGACTAATTCCAGCCCACGTGTAATTCCCAAACTACACTCCGAAAATATCGTGCGGTGAATGGATAAGTAGAAGACACGACACTAGTAGTAAGCTCACCATTTGGTAAAGTTTAGTTCTGTTGATGTACTCCATGTAGATTCCTGGGTCGTAATTAGTCGCCATCTTGTCTATTTGTCTAGGAACCGGGACGGTGGCACACCGTCCATCTCTCTTCTCCAAGTCTCAATGTCAATCATCATCTCTTCTACCACCTTTTAGCTCGGGACTAGTATTGGAATATGCTACTACGTATTGATTCAATTATCATGTGTATAGGGCACAACTTACATGTTTAGAAGTCAGTTTTCTGCGCTTTCAGTGCTGAAGTGAACACGTCCACCACACCCGGGACGGCATGCGCCACCGCAGTAGCCCTAGATCTTCTGAAACCGTTATGGATACCAACTATTGGCCTTAATATATCTGGCTGTTGCGTTCTTTCCTAGATCGGAGACCAACACAAGGTAAGAGTTTTCGTCCTCTATATTCCAACCTATACAGCAGTACTGTATGTCCAATAAAAGTGTACCGCTTATATACTAACTGCTAGATCATTTGCATCCTAGCCGAAGCATGATGAGTCCACAGACAATACCATTTGTTAAGTCAGTATGAGGGTCCAGGTCCTCGCATTAACAGGTTTTCCTTTGTCCAGAGATCAATAACCGAGAGAGGTCATTATTTTGCTTCGTTTGTTTATTATTTCACACCACCAGATGGGTCATTATAATTATTATTTCTTTACTAGTATCTGTAGTACATGTGACAGCCACTAATGTGGGCGGTGGGTAGCCTAATGGTTAAAGCGTTGCCTTCCGTCACGCCGAAGGCCCGCCTAACTCTCACATGGGTAGAATGCTGTGAGCCTCCGTTCCTGGTGTCCCCCGCCGTGATGTTGTTGGAATATTAAAGAGTTTAGAGATTTTATTAACACTATCAATCTTCACATGTAATGATACTAGAGAAATACAATTATAAAGACTCATTTGAAGCAACAACAACGCTAAATAATGACCTCTCCGATCTGAAAAGTCATTATTTATTGTTTGTTTATTGTTTAAACCACCAGAGGTAATTATAACTGTATTTTTTATTCAGTATCTAAAGTACATCTGACAGCCGTTAAAGTTGTAAATCTCTAAATCGTCTGAAACTGTTATGATACCAATTATTGGGCTAATAGTATGTACGTTTATGTTCTTTTCCAGATCGCAGACCAACACAAGGTAAGTGTTTTCGTCCTCTATCTTCCATCTATACATCAGTACTGTTTGTCTCACAAAAGTTATTTCTAGATACTAACTGCAAGATCATTTCCATCCTAGCCGAAACATGATCAGTCCACAGAGAGACACACATTTGTTAAGTCAGTTTGAGGGTCCAGGGTCTCGATTAACGGGTTTTCCCTGTCCAGATACACATCTGAAAAGTCATTATTTATTGTTTGTTTATTGTTTAAAACCACCAGAGGGGTCATTATAATTGTATTTCTTTACTAGTATCTAGTACATGTGACAGCTGTTAATGTTGTAAATCTCTAAATCTTCTGAAACTGTTATGATACCAATTACTGGGCTAATAGTATGTACGTTTATGGTCTTTCCAGATCGGAGACCAACACAAGGTAAGTGTTTTCGTCCTCTATGGTCCACATATACATCAGTACTGTTTGTCCACAGAAGTTAATTCTTAGATACTAACTGCAAGGTCATTTCCAACCTAGCCGAAGCATGATCAGTCCACAGACACACATTTGTTACGTCAGTATGAGGGTCCCAGGGTCTCCATTAACGGGTTTTCCCTGTCCAGATACACATCGGAGAGGTCATTATTTGCTTGTTTGTTTACTGTTTAACACTCACCAGATGGGTCATTATAATTGTATTTCTTTACTAGTATCTAGTACATGTGAGAGTTGTTAGTGTTGTAAATCTCTAAATCTTCATTTGAAACTGTTATGATACCAATTACTGGGCTAATAGTATGTACGTTTATGGTGTTTCCAGATCGGAGACCAACACAAGGTAAGTGTGCTTTTGTCCCATTAATCAGCCTCCTACATACAACACTCTTTAGTTCAGAAAAAGTTAATTCTTAGATACTAACTGCATGTCATTTCCATCCTAGCCGAAGCACCATAAGTCCACGAGAGACACATTTTGTATTTCAGAATATAGGGTCTATGGTCTCCATTAACGGGTTTTCCCTTGTCCAGATACACATGGGAGAGATCATTATTTGCCTGAACTGTTTAGGAGGCATTGTAGAGTTGTAAGCAAAAGGAATGTCAAGTGTTTATGGATGATCAACTTCTTTACTGTACACTGCGACGTTTCGGCATAGATGCTTATACCTTTTAAAGCATGATATATCATTATTTGCTTGTTTGTTTATTGTTTAATGCCACCAGAGGGTCATTGTAGTTATCTCTTCTTTATTTAGTTTGGGGTACGTCTGACAGTTTGTTAATGTAGTAAATCGCTAAATCTTCTAAACTGTTATGATACCAATTACTGGGCCTAATATATCTACGTTTATGTTCTTTCCAGATTGGAAACCAACACAAGGTAAGTGCTTTCGTCCTCTATTTTCCACCTATACGGCAGTACTGTTTGTCCACAAAAGTTAATTCTTAGATACTAACTGCAAGATCATTTCCATCCTAGCCGCAGCACCATAAGTCCACCGAGACACACATTTTGTATTTCAGAATATAGGGTCCAGGGTCTCCATTAACGGGTTTTCCCTGTCCAGATACACATGGAAGTGGTCATTATTTGCCTGAACTGTTTGAGAAGCATTCTAGAGTTGTAAGCAATAGGAATGTCAAGTGTTTATGGATGATCAACTTCTTTACTGTACAATTGCGACGTTTCGGTATAGATGCTTATACCTTTTTGAAGCATGATATATCATTATTTGCTTGTTTGTTTATTGTTTAATGCCACCAGAGGGGTCATTGTAGTTATCTCTTTCTATTTAGTTTGGGGTACGTCTGACAGTTTGTAATGTAGTAAATCTCTAAATCGTCTGAAACTGTTATGATACCAATTACTGGGCTAATAGTATGTACGTTTATGTTCTTTCCAGAACGCAGACCAACACAAGGTAAGTGTTTTCGTCCTCTATCTTCCATCTATACATCAGTACTGTTTGTCCACAAAAGTTATTTCTTAGATACTAACTGCAAGATCATTTCCATCCTAGCCGAAACATGATCAGTCCACAGAGAGACACATTTGTTAAGTCAGTTTGAGGGTCCAGGGTCTCGATTAACGGGTTTTCCCTGTCCAGATACACATCTGAAAAGTCATTATTTATTGTTTGTTTATTGTTTAAAACCACCAGAGGGGTCATTATAATTGTATTTCTTTACTAGTATCTAGTACATGTGACAGCTGTTAATGTTGTAAATCTCTAAATCTTCTGAAACTGTAATGATACCAATTACTGGGCTAATAGTATGTACGTTTATGCTCTTTCCAGAACGCAGACCAACACAAGGTAAGTGTTTTCGTCCTCTATCTTCCATCTATACATCAGTACTGTTTGTCCACAAAAGTTAATTCTTAGATACTAACTGGAAGGTCATTTCCATCCTAGTCGAAGCATGGTCAGTAGACAAAGGGACACACATTTATTACGTCAGTATGATGGTCCAGGGTCTCCATTAACGGGTTTTCCCTTTCCAGACACACATCGGAGAGGTCATTGTTTTGCTTGAACTGTTTAAGAAGCATTCTAGAAAGTTGTAAGCAATAGGAACGTCAAGTGTTTATGGATGATCAACTTCTTTATTGTACAGTTGCGACGTTTCGGTATAGATGCTTATTCTTTTCAAGCATGATACATAATTATTTGCTTGTTTGTATATTGTTTAATGCCACCAGAGGGGTCATTGTTGTTATGTTTTTCTATTTGGTTTGGGGTACGTCCGACAGTTTTAAAGTAGTAAATCTCTAAATTGTTATGATACCAATTATTGGGCTATGTAAGTCCTTTTGTCCTTTGTTCATGAAAGGTTATTCTTAGATTCTAACTGCAAGGTCATTTCCATCCTAGCCGAAGCATGATCAGTCCACAGAGAGAAACATTTGTTAAGTCAGTGTGAGGGTCCAGGGGCTCGATTAACGGGTTGTCCCTGTCCAGATACACATCGGAGAGGTCATTATTTGCTTGTTTGTTTATTGTTTAACACCTCCAGATGGGTCTTTATAATTGTATTTCTCTACTAGTATCTAGTACATGTGAGAGTTGTTAGTGTTGTAAATCTCTAAATCTTCTGAAACTGTTATGATACCAATTACTGGGCTAATAGTATGTACGTTTATGTTCTTTCCAGATCGGAGACCAACACAAGGTAAGTGTTTTCGTCCTCTATGTTCCACATATACATCAGTACTGTTTGTCTACAAAAGTTAATTCTTAGATACTAACTGCAAGGTCATTTCCAACCTAGCCGAAGCATGATCAGTCCACGGAGACACATTTGTTAAGTCAGTATGAGGGTCCAGGGTCTCGATTAACGGGTTTTCCTTGTCCAGATACACCGGAGAGGTCATTATTTGCTTGTTTGTTTACTGTTTAAAACCACCAGATGGGTCATTATAATTGTATTTCTTTACTAGTATCTAGTACATGTGAGAGTTGTTAGTGTTGTAAATCTCTAAATCTTCTGAAACTGTTATGATACCAATTACTGGGCTAATAGTATGTACGTTTATGTTCTTTCCAGATCGGAGACCAACACAAGGTATGTGCTTTTGTCCTTAATAATCAGCCTCTACATTAACACTCTTAGTTCAGAAAAGTTAATTCTTAGATACTAACTGCATGTCATTTCCATCCTAGCCGCAGCACCATAAGTCCACCGAGACACACATTTTGTATTTCAGAATATAGGGTCTATGGTCTCCATTAACGGGTTTTCCCTGTCCAGATACACATGGGAGAGATCATTATTTGCCTGAACTGTTTTGGAGGCATTCTAGAGTTGTAAGCAAAAGGAATGTCAAGTGTTTATGGATGATCAACTTCTTTACTGTACAATTGCGACGTTTCGGTATAGATGCTTATACCTTTTTGAAGCATGATATATCATTATTTGCTTGTTTGTTTATTGTTTAATGCCACCAGAGGGGTCATTGTAGTGATCTCTTTCTATTTAGTTTGGGGTACGTCTGACAGTTTGTAATGTAGTAAATCGCTAAATCTTCTAAACTGTTATGATACCAATTACTGGCCTAATATATCTACGTTTATGTTCTTTCCAGATTGGAAACCAACACAAGGTAAGTGCTTTCGTCCTCTATTTTCCACCTATACGGCAGTACTGTTTGTCCACAAAAGTTAATTCTTAGATACTAACTGCAAGATCATTTCCATCCTAGCCGCAGCACCATAAGTCCACCGAGACACACATTTTGTATTTCAGAATATAGGGTCCAGGGTCTCCATTAACGGGTTTTCCCTGTCCAGATACACATGGAAGTGGTCATTATTTGCCTGAACTGTTTGAGAAGCATTCTAGAGTTGTAAGCAATAGGAATGTCAAGTGTTTATGGATGATCAACTTCTTTACTGTACAATTGCGACGTTTCGGTATAGATGCTTATACCTTTTTGAAGCATGATATATCATTATTTGCTTGTTTGTTTATTGTTTAATGCCACCAGAGGGGTCATTGTAGTTATCTCTTTCTATTTAGTTTGGGGTACGTCTGACAGTTTGTAATGTAGTAAATCTCTAAATCGTCTGAAACTGTTATGATACCAATTACTGGGCTAATAGTATGTACGTTTATGTTCTTTCCAGAACGCAGACCAACACAAGGTAAGTGGTTTCGTCCCCTATGTTCCATCTATACATCAGTACTGTTTGTCTACACAAAAGTTAATTCTTAGATACTAACTGCAAGGTCATTTCCATCCTAGCCGAAGCATGATCAGTCCACAGAGACACATTTGTTACGTCAGTATGAGGGTCCAGGGTCTCGATTAACGGGTTTTCCTTGTCCAGATACACCGGAGAGGTCATTATTTGCTTGTTTGTTTACTGTTTAACACCACCAGATGGGTCATTATAATTGTATTTCTTTACTAGTATCTAGTACATGTGAGAGTTGTTAGTGTTGTAAATCTCTAAATCTTCTGAAACTGTTATGATACCAATTACTGGGCTAATAGTATGTACGTTTATGGTGTTTCCAGATCGGAGACCAACACAAGGTATGTGCTTTTGTCCTTAATAATCAGCCTCTACATTAACACTCTTAGTTCAGAAAAGTTAATTCTTAGATACTAACTGCATGTCATTTCCATCCTAGCCGCAGCACCATAAGTCCACCAGAGACACACATTTTGTATTTCAGAATATAGGGTCTATGGTCTCCATTAACGGGTTTTCCCTGTCCAGATACACATGGGAGATCATTATTTGCCTGAACTGTTTAGGAGGCATTCTAGAGTTGTAAGCAAAAGGAATGTCAAGTGTTTATGGATGATCAACTTCTTTACTGTACAATTGCGACGTTTCGGTATAGATGCTTATACCTTTTTGAAGCATGATATATCATTATTTGCTTGTTTGTTTATTGTTTAATGCCACCAGAGGGGGTCATTGTAGTGATCTCTTTCTATTTAGTTTGGGGTACGTCTGACAGTTTGTAATGTAGTAAATCTCTAAATCGTCTGAAACTGTTATGATACCAATTACTGGGCTAATAGTATGTACGTTTATGTTCTTTCCAGAACGCAGACCAACACAAGGTAAGTGGTTTCGTCCCCTATGTTCCATCTATACATCAGTACTGTTTGTCCACAAAAGTTAATTCTTAGATACTAACTGCAAGATCATTTCCATCCTAGCCGAAGCATGATCAGTCCACAGAGAGACACATTTGTTACGTCAGTGTGAGGGTCCAGGGTCTCGATTAACGGGTTTTCCCTGTCCAGATACACATCGGAGAGGTCATTATTTGCTTGTTTGTTTATTGTTTAACACCACCAGATGGGTCATTATAATTGTATTTCTTTACTAGTATCTAGTACATGTGACAGTTGTTAATGTTGTAAATCTCTAAATCTTCTGAAACTGTTATGATACCAATTACTGGGCTAATAGTATGTACGTTTATGATGTTTCCAGATCGGAGACCAACACAAGGTATGTGCTTTTGTCCTAATAATCAGCCTCTACATTAGCACTCTTAGTTCTGAAAAGTTAACTCTTAGATACTAACTGCAAGATCATTTCCATCCTAGTCGAAGCAGCACCATAAGTCCAACAGAGACACACATTTTGTTTTTCAGAATATAGGGTCTATGGTCTCCATTAACAGGTTTTCCCTGTCCAGATACACATGGGAGAGGTACATTTTTGCTTGAACTGTATAAGAGGTCCTAGAGGTCTCCATTAAGTGTTTATGGATGATTTCCCTGTCCAGATACACGGCATGATATATCATTTATTTGTTTGAACTGTTTAATGCCTCCAGAGGCATCTCTTTAGAGTTGTAAGCAAGTTTGTAAGTAGTAAATGTCAAATGTTTATGGATGATCAACTTCTTTATGTTCTTTGTACAATTGCGAGTGTTTTCGTCCTATATGATGCTATACATATACTGTTTTTTGAAGCATTCTTAGATATAACTGCAATCATTACCGAAGCATTTGCTTGTTTGTTCTATTAACGGGTTTTCCCTTTTAATGCCACCAGAGGGTCATTGTTGTTATGTTTGTTTATTTAGTGGGTTTATAATTGTATTTCACTAGTATCTGACAGTTTGTTAATGTTGTAAATCTCTAAATCTTCTGAAACTGTTATGATACCAATTATTGGGCTAATAGTATGTACGTTTATGTTCTTTCCAGAACGGAGACCAACACAAGGTAAGTGTTTTCGTCCTCTATGTTCCACCTATACATCAGTACTGTTTGTCCACAAAAAGTTAATTCTTAGATACTAACTGCAAGATCATTTCCATACTAGCCGAAACATGATCAGTCCACAGAGACACACCTTTTTACGTCAGTATGAGGGTCCAGGGATCTCGATTAACAGGTTTTCCCTGTCCAGATACACATCGGAGAGGTCATTATTTGCTTGTTTGTTTATTGTTTAAAACCACCAGATGGGTCTTTATAATTGTATTTCATTACTAGTATCTAGTACATAGAGATTATTAACGAGTGTCTGTCAGATACCATTTATCTTTAACGAGTTGTTTCAAAACGTATTTAACGAACGAAACGAGTTAAATACCTTTTGAAACAACGAGTTGTATGGATAAATGGTATCTGACAGACACGAGTACACAATCTGTTTCTTACACACCATATAAAATCGCACCATTTTATTGTGCGAATACATTCAAATTTCATATTTTCTCATCGTAGCTGCGCAATAATACACAACACAACGTTTATGTATGAGTGACGTCACCTGGCTTCCTAATCACTACTCATCCCCATGGTGACCTTCCACAAAAGGTTTCTGCCACCTCTTCGTATCATAAAGGCAATAGTGATAATGAAAAGTAGATAACATCACAGACAGTTCATTAAATACTGTAAAACGATGATGTTACCGTGCAAATGTGGATGATTTTAATTCTTGCAAGCAAAACATATTTTAACGTGTGACGTCATCGTTATCGCTTGGTGGTTGTCGTCATCGGAAGATGGTTTCGGATATCTCTGCACATTGGGGATCTGTACTTGTGTACCAGTTTCTGTTCAGTGTCCTCCCATCGACCAGAGCCAAAACAACTGAGTGTGTGTAATTAGGTGTAACCCGTGTGCTTGAAAGTGGCATTGCTGAGGTTACGTTCACTATCAATGGGGACTACTCTTCTTCGCCACAGCCTTCTCGTTTTCCCGATCCAGAAACTACCACTTGGAATGTAATGGAATTTACGGAGTTTTCTGTATGAAATGTGAGTTGATTACATCCTGTATGTTTATCAAGGCATAAACTTTTCATTATCATGCGTCGGAGGAATGTCTTGAGCAATGACTTTTGTGTAGATCAACCGTTCCTGTACATGTTCGATTGAATAGAAAAAGACGTGTGCCGCCATTTGCACTCATGAAACCTTGCAAAACGTTCCATGTTGTACGTTGTTTCAACGAGTGTGTTTTGGTTCTGATTGTCATGAGTGAATATGATAACATTGCAATCACATAGTATCTCGGAGCTGGAAGTGGGTCTTCATCGTGTGTATCAGTGAAACATGTCATCTTGATCAATGCATCAAAGAAACAACGAGGCAAATCGATCTCACAATGGACAGGCACTGACGTTATCGTGTCAGGTATATTTGCAAGACGACACATGACACTTGTCGCATCTCTCCAGTAAAAGTACCAGTGTTGTACATTTTGAATTTCGAAGGAATCAAGGGCTTTATCTCTAACGGCGATTTTCACATAATTGTTTACACAGGTATCACTGATTGTTGGAGCCATTTTGAATTCATGACTAAGAATCAAAAGTTTTAATAAAAGGAATTAGAAAATAAATAGATTCGTGTGTTATATTTATTCTGCTTGTGACTCATTGTATAAATACATGTTTATGTTGCAATCGCGAAAATAACAGGTAGGTGTAAAGGGGTATTTTTGCACGAGTAGCAGATTTCTGTCTGATTGAAGCACGAGTAACTTATCAATGAATTTTAATCAGGAAAGTAGTCCGTCATAACCTGACCATAGGTCATCACCATGGAGTAGCCAATCACGGATTAGAAATCGATCTCACACATATGTGTGATACCAGTTTTCTCACATGGGTTTCTCACCACGGGTGTGTAAGAAATGTCACAGTTGTTAATGTTGTAAATCTCTAAATCTTCTGAAACTGTTATGATACCAATTACTGGGCTAATAGTATGTACGTTTATGTTCTTTCCAGAACGCAGACCAACACAAGGTAAGTGTTTTCGTCCTCTATGTTCCATCTATACATCAGTACTGTTTGTCCACAAAAGTTAATTCTTAGATACTAACTGGAAGGTCATTTCCATCCTAGCCGAAGCATGATCAGTCGACAAAGGGACACACATTTGTTAAGTCAGTATGAGGGTCCAGGGTCTCGATTAACGGGTTTTCCCTTTCCAGACACACATCTGAGAGGTCATTATTTGCTTGAACTGTTTAAGAAGCATTCTAGAAGTTGTAAGCAATAGGAACGTCAAGTGTTTATGGATGATCAACTTCTGTATTGCACAGTTGCGACGTTTCGGTATAGATGCTTATTCCTTTTTGAAGCATGATACATAATTATTTGCTTGTTTGTATATTGTTTAATGCCACCAGAGGGGTCATTGTTGTTATGTTTTTTCTATTTGGTTTGGGGTACGTCTGACAGTTTTTAAAGTAGCAAATCGTCTGAAACTGTTATGATACCAATTATTGAGCTAGGTAAGTCCTTTTGTCCTTTGTTCTTAAAGGTAATTCTTAGATACTAACTGCAAGATCTTTTCCATCCCTAGCCGAAGCATGATCAGTCCACAGAGACACATTTGTTAAGTCAGTATGAGGGTCCAGGGTCTCAATTAACGGGTTTCCCTTTCCAGATACACATCGGAGAGGTCATTTATTTGCTTGTTTGTTTATTGTTTAAGACCACCAGATGGGTCTTTATAATTGTATTTCTTTACTAGTATCTAGTACATGTGACAGTTGTTAATGTTGTAAATCTCTAAATCTTCTGAAACTGTTATGATACCAATTCCTAGGCTAATAGTATGTACGTTTATGTTCTTTCCAGAACGCAGACCAACACAAGGTAAGTGTTTTCGTCCTCTATGTTCCACCTATACATCAGTACTGTTTGTCCACAAAAGTTAATTCTTAGATACTAACTGCAAGGTCATTTCCATCCTAGCCGAAGCATGATCAGTCCACAGAGAGACACATTTGTTAAGTCAGTATGAGGGTCCAAGGTCTCGATTAACGGGTTTTCCGTGTCCAGGTACACATCTGAGAGGTCATTATTTGCTTGTTTGTTTATTGTTCAACACTACCAGATGGGTCTTTATAATTGTATTTCTTTACTAGTATCTAGTACATGTGACAGTTGTTAAAGTTGTAAATCTCTAAATCTTCTGAAACTGTAATGATACCAATTACTGGGCTAATAGTATGTACGTTCATGGTGTTTCCAGATCGGAGACCAACACAAGGTATGTGCTTTTGCCCTAATAATCAGCCTCTACATTAGCACTCTTAGTTCAGAAAAGATAATTCTTAGATACTAACTGCATGTCATTTCCATCCTAGCCGCAGCACCAAAAGTCCACAGAGACACACATTTTGTATTTCAGAATATAGGGTCCATGGTCTCTATTAACGGGTTTTCCCTTTCCAGATACACATGGGAGAGATCATTATTTGCCTGAACTGTTTAGGAGGCATTCTAGAGTTGTAAGCAATACAAGGAATGTCAAGTGTTTATGGATGATCAACTTCTTTACTGTACAATTGCAACGTTTCGGTATAGATGCTTATACCTTTTTGAAGCTTATGATATATCATTATTTGCTTGTTTGTTTATTGTTTAATGCCACCAGAGTATTGTAGTGATCCCTTTCTATTTAGTTTGGGGTGTCTGACAGTTTTAATGTAGTAAATCTCTAAATCTTCTGAAACTGTTATGATACCAAATTATTGGGCTAATAGTATGTACGTTTATGTTCTTTCCAGATTGGAGACCAACACAAGGTAAGAGTTTCGTCCCTCTATGTTCCACCTATACATCAGTACTGTTTTGTCCACAAAAGTTAATTCTTAAATACTAACTGCAAGGTCATTTCCATCCTAGCCGAAGCATGATCAGTCCACAGAGAGACACATTTGTTAAGTCAGAATATAGGGTCCAGGGTGTCGATTAACGGGTTTTCCCTTCCAGATACACATCGGAGAGGTCATTGTTTGCTGTAGAACTTTCGTTTTAAGAGGCATTGTAGAGCTGTAAGCAATAGGAATGTCAAGTGTTTATGGATGATCAGCTCTCTTTACTGTATAACTATGACGTTCTCGTACATAGATGCTATACCTTTTGAAGCATGATATATCACATTGCTTCTTTACTTGTTTATTGTTTAATGCCACCAGAGGGGTCATTGTAGTGATCCCTTTCTATTTAGTTTGGGGTAATGTCTGACAGTTTTAATGTAGTAACTCTCTAAATCTTCTGAAACTGTTATGATACCCAACCTCATTGGG